AACTGCCCGCAGGGTAAGACAAGGAGCAAACATATATTTGTTTCTGATGCCAACCACCTGAAGCATCAAATCTTCCCCACTTTTTAAATTTAACCTCGGCACATCAGTATTGCTCTAAAGAGAAATTCGGCTGTCACTTGCTGGATGCCTGAGTGAAAATGAGAAGTCTTCAGAACAAGCAGAGGAAATAAGTCCCTGTTCCTATTCCAAGCTCTGAAAATGAAATGCAAATCACGACAAAGCAAAGAGAGGCAAGATATGCCACAGTGAAAGGGAAGCCAGAACTCCCATCAAGAACCATACCTCGGAGAAACTTCCAGGGCTCTGGAATCACCGGCATCCACAGAAGGATCCAATTTAGGTACAGACACCTCACCTGATGCACAGGCACTTAGCAGGGGAGCTCCTCTAACTTAAACTTAACAGGTCTCTAGTCTTGAGCTCCACCAGATATCTGGGTTTGGGATCACACCCTGGGCATGCACATCTGCTCAAAACACATCCTGAGAGATGCATTTGGATTAGACACCACAATCTAGAGCCAAAGGAAGAAGCAGGGGCGCTGGTAAGCCTCACTCAGTACCCCATGGCTGCCTGGCTACTTGGGAAACACACGGGTGTGAACCCCCACCCCCGCCGAGTGACCCCTTCCTCGGTGCTGTGCTAACCTTCAGAGTCTACAGGGATGTTTGGGAGGCTGCTCGTATGGCCTCCAGTGTGATGTACAGTCTATAAACAGCAGTGAATCCAACCACACTGTATCAGACCAAGGGGTGCCAACCCTGTCCTGAAAGTCTCCCAGAAAACAAGAACACCCACGATCAGTACCTGTTTGACAGAACTAAAGAGAAAGTTCTGTCAAAGGAAGCATAAGAACAATAACTTTGTAAGCAGGAATACATTTCACAAAAACCATTTTCCCCCTTCTGCAAAGCCTAGTATTATCTAAAAACACCTACAGCCATCTTATAAATGACCCAAAGAAAAAAATCAGCACAGCTGCAGAGAGACCAGAAAGCTCTGGCTCCTCTCATCTGCATATGTCAGTTTCTCCCGAGGTCATCCAACTTCAATTTTAAGTCCTTTGGACACTTCCTGTCCCCACAGCCACTAAGGCTTCCAGCAGAAAGCATCTATAACTCTCATCGTCTCAACAGACCTCATGGCCGAGGGAAGGCACAGGATGTCCCCAGAGGCTCACCTCATATGACAAGTCGTGGTGAGAGTGGAGACTCAAGGGCCCTTCCTGACTGATCTGGATAAGGTCCTTTTAAAGAAGAACTCTATTCTCCTTAAGAAATAAAGTGTGTTGCTTCTAGAATACAGGGATGCATCCTTCTGCTTCTTGTTTTACCTGCCTTAACACCCAGGACAGTAGGTAATACTGGGTGCAAGAGCAAAACATTTCTCCACTTCTCAATTCATGTCTTCATTACCCATGTTAAAATAAAACACCTGCCTTTCACCTAACTTGAACTCATTCATTTTCTGCATCTTCGTTCTACTCGCATGACATCTAGTTTACTCGTAAGATCTATCTCATATCTCCAGAATGGAATACTCCAATTCCTTTTGGTTTAACAACAAACAAAAAACCATCTGAGAGCAGTGATGTCCATCGCCCAGAGTGGATGGCTTACTCAGGACAATTAAGAGGATCGATCCCTATGCCTCCAAGATTAACCAGTTGGCAAAACAGTTTCAGATCATTTGGTAATAAAGGATCAACAGGTTAATATTTCAAAATGGAAAACAAGATTAAAGAGTCATGAATTCAAAGTGAAATACATACCAGGAAGAATAAACTGAATGCTTTGAAATGTTAACTTACCAGCAATAATTAGCACTGAAACATCACACAAATAAAAACCTACAAGCTGGTGAGGTTTGGCCTCCTTAGCACTGAGGTGTCCAACCTGCAGCTCATGGGCCATTTACTCTTTTTATTAAGTGTTATAATTTTTTAAAAAGTTACGTTCCTTATATATATGGACTACATTGTACATTTTATATGCAGCCCAAGACAAATCACCTTCACTCAGTGTGGCCCAGGAAAGGCAAAAGGTTGGGTGTCCCAACCATTCCAGAATAAAGGTACTTACTCACAGTTTGTTGCCAGGAACAACTTATTTCCAGGCTAGTGACATGATACTGCTTAACTCAGGCCACTGCCACTGCTCCTAAGTTACCAGTCATGCAATACAGCCTGGGCAGCGTCCTCCTTCCAAGGCACAAAGATTGGGGTCAGGAGGAGGCCAACCATCATGCTGGTCCTCATGAAACCACCTGCAGACTTTCAGGCTAAAGCAGCTCTCATAAAAGTGGTTACGACTCTACCTACAGATCCACAGTTTTCAGCATCTAAATCCTATGTACTCTTGGTCCTACACTGGTTACTATTAAACCAAGTGGTAAAACTTGGTGGTATGACATGGTTTGGATAAGTGTCTCCCAAAGACCTATTTGTTAAAGATGTGGTCCCTAGCTTGTGGCACCGCTGGAAGGTAATAGGACCTTAAAAGATGTGGAATCTAGCTGGAAATCTGGTTGTATGTGGATGTACCCTTGAAAGGGAGACGGGGAACTGACTCCTTCTCTTCCTCTCCCTTTCACTTCCCTCCCACCAGGAGATGAGCAACTTCCCCTACCATGTGCTCCCACCATGATATACAGCCTCCTTGCAGGTGTAAAAGCAATGAGAGCAACTGGCTAGGACTGAAACCTCCCAAACTGTGAGCTAAAAGAAGCCTTTTCCCTTTATAAACTATCTCAGGTATTCGTTACCGTAAAAGAAAGCCCACCGATACCCTTAAAATATAACTCATCAGCAACAATTAGCACTGAAACACCGCATAAATACAGTCTAGAAATAGCTAACTCAACTTCTCTAAGGCACAGTTGTGTCTCATGGCAACAAAGGCTTCATTAGCCAACATCTAACTGCTATTAAAACTTGGCTTTCTTTGATAGATGAAAAATGAATAAATTGTAAAATTGTCTATCACACCACTCATTACAATGTCCCCAGGGCAATTTAATTCCCAATTAATTCCCAACTACGCTAATAACCAACAACTAATGCAAACTAAGAAAGAAAAAGACCACATCTCTTTCATCAAGATCCTCATAAATACACAGAGAACACTGAGAAATCTCTCTGGATGGGTCCCAGCTCAGCATAGAACCAGCCTTTGGTTATATGAATAAGGTCTGCTATGGTTTCAAATTCCTCTTATTGAGATGATTGTCCCTAAATTATTAAGATAATTGTCCCGATTCCTCTTATTGAGATGATTGTCCCAGCTACAGTTTCCTGTAAGTTTCAATAAATATTTAATGGAGCCCAAAAGTTTTGAGTGATTATGGTGATTTTTCAAATTGAGAAAGAGACAGAGAAAGGAGAGAATGGGAACAGAAAGGAAGGTCGACCATAAGCCAAAAACTAGAGGAAACACTTAAATTTTAATCCCAGCCCTACACAGCCGGAGTACAATCACAGCTCTGTTGAACACATAAAATCTTCCATATGTACACACACAATTGAAGAGATTCTTGAGGGAAAACATTCAATGGTAAGACACTCTGGTGTCTTACACAAATCAACTCAAACAGATAAAAACCAAGCGAATCAACAGGACCACTCCCGGCCTATTCTCCATTTTCCCCAATGACACTCCTTTCACTAGAGCAAACAAACACGCAGAAAGCCTCACCTAGAGCAGGTGTCATGGCGGTCATGGGCCCGGTGGGATCCAGCTGGAATCCACTCATCATGAACTGGGTGTCCGAGGCAGCACTGTCCATCTTCAGGTTGGGCAGGTTCATGTTCTGGGCCAGGTAGTATTGGTAGAGCTCGGCCTCGGCAGGCGAGGGCAGGCTGCCGAGCCCCAGGTGGCGGTTGTGTTGGATTTGAGTCATGTTCTGCTGTAGCAGCATCATGTTATGCATGTGCTTCTCACTGGTCATGTGGATGCGGAGGTTCCTAGCCACGTTGGTCTCATAATCACACACCTCACACCGCCACGTGGGTTTGGTTTTTGGTTTGGTGGGTGAGGGGGCCCCGCAGGAACCACTGATATTGGCTGCTGCAGCCGCCGCTGCTGCCGCCGCCGCTGCCGCTCCAGCAGTGTGGCTGAAGACTTGCTCCCCCCCTCCATTCTGCAGGTTCTGCATGTTGTTGAGATGCTTGTCGGACTGCATATGAATACTGAGGTTGCCTTTGGTAGTTGTGGAGTAGTTACACACCTCGCAGCGGAAAGGCTTGTAACCACAAGTGTAGCTCTCGCCTCGTGCCAACCGGGGGTGGGGCTGCCCACTTTTGCAGTAGACGCAGGAGCCCCCCGGCTCCGGGTGCTTCTCCTTCATGTGTGCCTCCAGCGTCTGCTGGTACTTATAGTGCCAGTTGCACTTGGGGCACTTGAGTGTCTTACACGAGTTACGAGAATGCATCATGGTCATGTGGCCGCCCAGTGAGCGGGAGGAGCCCAAGACCGTGTCACATTTGGGGCACTCTACGCCACTCCCCGAGGGGCACTCCCCAACCCCAAGCTCGCAGAGGGAGCCAGCGTGCTGGTGATGTGAGACGAAGCCCCCATCATCGCCCTCTGTGCTTTCATTTGGTTCTGGTGCTGTGGCATTGTCTTTATTGGCACTTTCATCAGCGAAGTCCAGCCTCCTGCCGCCCTCTGCCACATTGGCCCTGACGCCCTCACTGTTAAAGCTTAAACGATTCCTCCTGTTCGCACCATCAAAGACAACAAAGGAAGAAGCGGAATTAGAACTAGTAGAAGCTGTGCCCCTCGACAAGGTCTGGAGCACATTAGGCATTAAGGGGGAGTTAGAAATGCTTTGGTTTGAGAGAGCAAGGTCCTTTTTGCTGCTACCACCTGCTACTGCCCCAGACTCCTCGGAGGGCCTGTCCTCCAGCTCGTCATCCAACTCACTTGGAAAGAGTCCTTTGCAACCCTCATCTTCCTCCTCCTCCTCTTCTTCCTCCTCTTCTTCCTCCTCCTCCTCCTCTGCCTCTTCTTCCTCTTCTTCCTCCTCCGCCTCCTCCTCCTCAGCTGGCTCTGCTTTCTCAGAGAAGCAATCCGGATCGCCCGCTTCTTGCCTCTCTCCTTCAGCTGCCCCAGAGTCCTTGCCCTCTGAGGATTTGGTAGGACTGGAAGCCAGAGGCCCCAGGGGGACTGAGGTAATGGGGGTTTTCAGGACCGAGCTGGTGAGTCCGCCAAGGTTCAAGAGGGTGCTGGGGGTCAAGAGACCAGCCTGGGGCTGCTCAGGGCCGGCGGCAGAGCCGGCTGGGAGAACCTCCTCCCCTTCCATTCGAATGCCACTAAATTTACCATAAAAACTGTGTCCGGGGCCTATGAGGTTAGCTGTGGAAACTAAAGGGTGTTGAAAGTTTTTGTTTTTTGGTTCCAGAAAACTTACAAGGGGTTCCTTGTCTTTGCCAATCCCTTGGATGATAGCGGAGATGTTCTTATTGCTAAGAATTTTCCGCTCGTCTTCACTCAGGGTCATTCGATGGTCGTGTACCGCGTGGGTCACAAACGAACGGACGTACCCGAAGGAGAGTTTGCACAAGAAACACATCAGGATGGGCTTCCTCTTGCCGTAGAGCACAAAGCCATCGAATTTGGACAGGTCCACATTGTTGGGAACATCTTTGGATACACAGGAGCTTTTGGCAGAACCGTCGCTGTTCAGGTAATCCTTGTTGCTTTTGTGTCGCACGTCAAAAACGCGGAAGCTGTGCAGGACGGGGCTGAGCCCCGCCAGGGCTGAGGTATTCGGGAAGGCCTGGTCTGAGCCCTCAAACCATTTCCCGAAGGATGAGGCTATGTGGAAAGTGTTGATAATCTGCGGGTAGACGGGTGCAGCACACGAAGGGTCCCCTTGTTTGCCCCCCGCACCGGGGAGCGAGTTCAGGAAGAGCGAGGGGAGAGGCCCGCTGCCACTGCCACACGCGGCCCCGCTCTGGGTCAGCTGGCTCAGGCTCTCCACGATGTACGCGGAGCCGTCGGGCTGGTAGACGATCTCCCCAGCCAGGTTCTCCACGTCGCTCTCCTCCTCGCCCTCCTCACTGGTGTCGCTGGCGCTCTCCTCTCGCAGGGGCGGTGGGGGGCGTGCGCCGGGGCAGTGGTGCTCCATGTAGGTCTGGAGGCTGGCGAAGGAGGCCGAGCACTCGTTGCAGCTGACCTCCTTGCCGGCGGGCTCGGCGGGGGGCCCGGCCAAGGGGGCGCTGCTGTCCGCCAGGCGCTCACTGAAGGGGGCCCTCAGGCTGTCCAGGGGCCCGTGGCTCTCGCCTGTGGGCTGCTCCATGCTACTGGGTTTGTCGGGGAGGCGGGTGCTGTTGAGTTCAGTCCATTGCCGGTGCTGAGGGATACCACACCCATCGTCCTTCCCCGAGACGACGGGCGAGTCACAGCCTTCCATGGTGAGGCCTGCGCGGAGCTTTCATTGCACCCAGTACGGATCGGACCTGAAGGGCAGAGGCAAGGGGGGAGGAGGGAGAGAGGGGAAAGAGAGAGAGAAAGGAAAGAGGTTAGGAGGGCCGAGGCTAAGGTCCCGCGCAAGGAGCGCTCTAAGATGCTTCTGTCCACACCCACAACACAGAGCCCGGGGCAGAGCGCAGGCCTAGGCCTGGGCCTGTGGCCGTGCGGAGCAGCACCGAGGGCGGCAGTGTCTGAGGGCATCACAGCCGGGTCCAAACACAAGCAGCAGGCCTGGAGAAGGGGAACTGGGAGCATGCCTCTCTGACTTCACACTGCCAGCTGCTCTATCCCTGCAGACCAGTTTGAATTTCCATTCTCTGCCAGGGCAGCCTGGCTCAATGGCAGAGCCAGGGGGAGCAGGGCTGTTACTTCTCTGGTCCCAATCAGGTCACAGCATCGAGGCCCCACAGCACACCCCTGGCTTATCATGCTGTCTACGGGGCAGAGCAAGACCAGGAGGGACAAGAGGAAGAAAGTTCGGCACTCTCAGGAAAAAGATGAAAAACTAGGATATGCTTGCTGATGTGGGGTAATCGCTATAATTGCTTTTATTGGCCACGTGTCTAGTTTGAGAAGTTCAGAGGTCTGTGAGGCTCAGAGGACAGGAGTGCAGGCCTGGACACCCTTTCCACAGTCCCTAAGAGGGCCAATGCTGGTAACCCTCCTCTCCAGGTCTCCAGCATCAATCACATGTTCCAAGCAGTAAAATTGGGAAGTTAAACCTCAAAATAAGCCTAACACCAGCCCAATCACCAAACAGAAGAGAAGACAGGTCCCTAAATTCCCATGTCCTCTGCCTTGACCTGGAGAAACCCCTTGCCTGAGACTAGGCTGACTGCGGACAAACATTATGCAGATGTAAAGCATGAGCTTGATATTTCCAGGAAGAAGAGACCAGACTCTGGATCGGCCAGCTCCCCCTCTAGCAGCTCCCGCCTCGCCCCGTCTGGAGGGAGCCCATTCACCACGTGCTTGGTGGGTTTTGCTATCAAGGATCTCAGCGCAAGCCAAGACAGCAGCTGTGCTCAGGGAGCCCCGGTTCCGCACCTGCTTCTTAGTTATTAGTTGCTACCCAAGCAGCTGTCCTGCAGCCCTGGGGCTTTTCCGTTTCCGACTCCAAAGTGCCACTGAGCTGAACTTGCCCTCTGAGACCTTGTGTCCCTGGGGAAGGCAGCATCAGATCACCAGCCACCTGGCTCCTGTGGCAACATCATCACAGGGCCCTTTCTTCCGTCCCGGTGCTGCCCCTACAGGGAACTCAGCACCTCGTAGGCCCTGATTTTTCCTTGGCAGATCCCTGGCCATTCTTCCCTGGCTCCTCCTTCCAGGAGAACACTTGGCAGCGTCTCCACCCACCACTCATTCATACACAGCAGATGAAGGTTTTGGCTGTTTGGTCTCCCTCCAGCCCCCACACCCCTCATCTTCTCATTCTTTGTTTCATTTCTCCATTCTTGACTACACAGTGAACCAACAGCTCCCCCTCGGGAAAAGATGGAGAAGACAGGTTTACCAGAAGTCTCAGGAGAAATAACTTTTTGGAAGAACGTGCCATGATTTGTTTAAAACGCACATGCACACAATCATCTTTCAATCTGTAATCTCAGACTCCGTGACAACAAAGTTTTGTGTGCATCAGAAAAGACATGTTCGTTTGAAACAGACATGACTATGCTAACCCAAACCCAACAGCAAAAGCAGTGGGACTTCTTGCAAGGCCAAGGCTTAGGTGGGATACAGATGAGAATCCAGAGCGGCTTTTCATAAGGATGCTTCTGATTGGCCAAATGACATGTGACTGACAGCTCAGGCCACAAAGGTTGGCAGGCCTGAAGGGGCGGGAGGGTTAACAGCCCGATTGTAAAATCAATGTCATAAATGCTTGGTAAGTTACAGGAACATGCAGGAAGGGGAGGCCACGATTGATAAAGGAGAACAGCTTTGATGCTGCACCAGGGACTTGTTTATCGACAGCAAAGCCAATCTCCTCTCCAGCCTGGGCTGGGCCAGAGAAACCTGCAAGCGTTTACCAATTAATTGGTGGGCTTTTCTTGCTCTGCTCTCTCCTTCCTCCTCCTCTTCGACAAACTATCCAGCTAAATGGCCGGGCCTTTAAAAAACTCCCTAACTTTGTTTTCTACTCCAAAACAGGTGTCAAGAAATGACATCGTGACTACCTGTGAGAGACAGATGACTCTGGGGTGGTAACAGTAGGAACCACTCACTGGCAGCAGGTAATCACCTATTAAGATGCGGGGAGGTGGGGGTGGGGATTTAGCTCAATGGTTTCGCCACCTGTTGTACAAGCACAAGGACTGGAGTTTGAGCCCCGGTACCAAAAAACAAAAAAGAATATTAAGATGCAGGGGGAAAAGGACCCCATTTCCAGATCCAAACTGCCTGCTCTGGGCTTTCTTTCCATGTACACTGGCCGTGCTGACAGCAGAACCTTTGACAACTTTGCCAATCAGCAAAGTGTGGTTCGTGGACGAATAACCTTGTCCTCACCACAGAGCTTGTGAGAAATGCAGTTTCGCAGCACCTCCCCACTCCATCACAATCTGCATTTTTACCTCATCCCCAGGTAACCTGAACCACAGCTTGAGACACTCTCTGCTTCACATCTTTACCGAGTGGCACCTGTACTGCTAGGTAACCTGGGAAAGATGGCTTTATCCCTACCCCCAGCTACCCCAAGGAGGTGCAGAAATAATGACAGACAGGGGGGACTGGAGCAGTGACATGAAATCTCTTCATCCTGCCTAGTCTTGCCGCTCAAGGACCTCGGGGCATCCACCACTCTCCCACCCAGTCAGCCAGCCGTGGCGCTCCCTCTGTTTATCAGCCAGTCAATAAGAAAAAGGTAGTCCTTACTTAAGGAGGCAGAAGTCAACTCGGCAGGTCGATCAGCACTCTGTCTGTAAACATGGTTTCCCGTAAAATCAATGATCTTCAGTTACAGAGGGCAGCCTGGGAACCAAGTGGGTCCCCACACGCCGAGCTTTCATAGGCAGCCCCTCGGCCGGCTGCACACACCTCTCCCGGCCCCCGCTCCATGCCGGGACCCCACCCCTCACAGACCTCGACCCCTCCTGCAGCCTGCTTCTCCTTCCACTGCTTACACTCACAAATTCCCTTCAATGACTAGTACAGCTCACAACCTCCAGCATTATACTCGAATGTGGTATTTTTATTTAAGAATTCAGCTAGATTTTAATAGAGCACATTTCTCCAATGACAAAGTTCAAGTGAAGATATAGGAGTGACCTCCATAGCAATCCTTCTCGTGGGTGCTCTTCTTCTTCAAGTTGAAATCTGCCATCTGAGAAGCAATCTTGTACAGAAAATTCTATCGCCTTCATCGAAAACCCCCTACCTGTGTTCATCTTCCAAAGTTAGTCTCATCCCTCGTAGCCCACTGAATCTTTACAAATATTAGCCTCTACTTTTCAGATATTGCTTAGAAGGATAAAGTCCATGTTAGCTGGGCATAGTGGCACACACCTGTGATCCCAGTACTTGGGAGGCTGAGTCAGAAGGATCTCGAGTTCAAGGCCTTATTGGCCTACACGGGAAAACCCTGTCTCAAAAAACAAAACAAAAAATTCCTGTGTTGCCCTGTGGGTCCCCATCAGGCAAAGCATCTGTCTCCCTCTGTAAACTAAAGAGATGTGCTGTGAAAGTCTGATGGTACTCCTTGAAGGAGACAGGGCTAGGTAAAACCCAACAGTTCCGGGAAGGGCTGGGAGGGGTGTACTTATGAGGAAGGGGAGAGGGCTCCCGCTGTTGCTCCAGCTCTCAGAGAATTAAACATGAACAGTCCCACTGTGTAATTTTAAATTGTTAATTAGCGCAGGGTTAATTAGGTGGTCCTTTCACAAGGGGCTGTTTGGCAGAAAACCAAGAAGGGAAACAAAGGGGAAGGAAAGAAAAACAAAGACAGAATAGAGACAGCGAGAGAAACTGTTGCCTCCATGAATAACCCATGGGGTGGGCATCCCAGGAGACCTCAGCCTGGGACGCCTGTTTCTCGGGGTGCTCCCGGCCGCCCCAGGGAGAAGCAGCAAGCGCAGCCTTCCTGCAGGCAGCCAGGCGGAACACAGGCCCTTGACTCAGCAATTTCTCCATTCCAGGGATTTAGCCTAAGGAAACAACCCAGAGGATCCATGGAGATGTAAGATTATTCATCACAATGTTCATAAGAGAAAAAAAAATTGAAACTGGAAATAATCAGGCAAAAACACACTCTGAACAACTCATCGCGCACAGAGTTCCATATACTGTTATACAAATACTTTAAGGAAACTATCCAGGCCTGGGAAAATGACCAGATTTTAAATGAAGCACCTATAGGTCCATGTACTAAATAGAAGACTTTTATATCAAAAATTTTATGATGGTAATTTCTAGGGAATAAGGATATAGGTGACTTCATTTTTTCTCCCCAAAGCTTTTTAAAGTTGAAGCCCTTAAACTTCTAGAAGCCATCACTTAATGAGCCAGGCACTGTGCTACAGCCGATGGGAACAACATCACTTCTAGGAGACAGGTGCTGTTTTCATCCCCATTTTAAAGATGGGAAAGCTGAGGCTCCACATTCTAAATGGCAAAGCCAGGCGGTGTGGCTTTGGAGTCTGTACTTTTAGCCACTCTGTTTTTCTTTAATGTCCATTTCTCAAACAAAACAATATCCAACATTTGCATTCGATGCCCCCCCACCCCTGTGCTAGGTATTAAACCATTAAGCTATCAGTCTCTGTATTCAATCTTTCTGCACTAGAGAGGCTGTCCTAAAATCAGGGGCTACCAGATTATTTTAAAAGATCGCTGCTTCCCCCCCCCCACAATGCTCTTTCCTTGCTTGGGAGCGACACAGGGGGAGAGCTCAAAATGGCCTTCTTCACTTAAATGTCTCCAGACAGGCAGAAGGAGAAAAAGCCGGTAGGAGAAGCTGCAGCAGAAAACTGCAAAATGGGCCCCACATTCTGATTTTTCTAAAAAAGGAAGGAAGAAAGGCACATTCTAGAAACTAAAGATCAGGAAAGGTATTCATTCATTCAATACAGTATTTACTGTACACCTACTATGTGTCAGATCCTAGCAACTACAATGATAACCAGGTTTCATCTTACAGCCTCGGGGAGGAACCACAGGCAAACAAGTATAACAATATTAAGTGATAAAAACACTCAGAAGTAACAAAAAGTCAGGGAGAAAAGCGATATGTGAATACACATCATTTTGGATAAAGTAATGTTATTAAAGTTAAAGGAATATGCTATAGATGATACATTGCAAGTATTTTCTAGGTTTAGAACAGATTCAGCTATTGCTGGAAAAGTATTTTAGTGGAGGAGGGTGATCCTGAGGAATTAGCTGTAACTCCAGTAAGAAAACTCACATAAAATATACTGAAAAACAGCCTCACTTTGGCTCACTGATCTGAAAAAATTAAAGACTTTTTTCAGAAAAATAAGGTATGCCAAAATGTGTCATTTCTTTATATTCAGAATAAGAAAACACTGTTTTCGAATAAAGTCAGGCCAGTTTTATAGCTGGTTGATAACACTGCCGAAAGTACCAACTTAGGTCAGTGTCCAGTGACATGCCACAGACCTGTCTTGTCTCATTCTGTTCACTGAAACCAGTAACCCGAGGAATGAGAGCAAGCATACACATCCGTGTGCACAGCACAGAAAATCAACAAGAACAACTAATACGGTACATGAGGGAATCAAGACTGAAGGAAAAGAAAAAACCCTCAGCCAGTTGAAAGAAAAGGCCCAAACAAGACAAAATTTTAGAAAGAGAAATACAAAGCTCTGCGTTTAAGTTCAGCCAATCAGCTAAATCAAAGTATGCAGGCTCTACATTAACAGCAGTTCATGCCAAAAAATAAACAAACAGACCTGGGGGTTTTACTTGACTGTAAATTCAGTGGAGACCCCAGGAGGGTGCAGCAACAGGAGCGCTCTATACCTGCTGGAACTCAGCAGGTTCGCAGCTCTATCGTTCTCTCTGGCTGCACGAAGAACATTCTGATCCACTCTGGGGACTTGTGGAGGAGGGAGACTGGCAAAGGGGAGCACGGTGGGAGAATGCATCACTCAAGGGCACAGAGAAGAGACAGCCCACTGAACTGTATGAAACCCTGCCTGCCACACAGGAGGAGGATTCGCGTGTCTTCTACCTTGCTTCAGGGTAGAACTAGGAGGAATGAGGGGAATTTGTAAGGAATTAAAGTTTGGTTTAATATAAATGAAAATCTTTCTCAAGATTATCAAAGTTTCCAAATAGAATGTTTCCACTGTGAAATACTCTCCTCTCTGGATTTGCAAATGGAGAAGGGGATGTTACTGTGGTCAGGAGGTTCTATCAGACAGCCTTTGAACAGTGGAGATTCTTTTCATTCCTGAGTAATCGATCTGGTTACTTTGCCAGCATGAACTGTCTCTGTCTTTCATATGTGGCCACAGACAGCAATGTGGGGGTCACCACCCTGCTGTGATTGGTCATTTGTTGACCTAACTGTCTAGGCTGTGAGCAACACAAGAATAGGTTCCATGTGTCATTCATCTCTGCACCCTCTACATCCAAGATGTAATAGGTGCTTAATAAAATGATGGGGGAAACTAAGGTCATGAGAGAAAGAGTACTTTGAGAGGAAAAAAGATATCCCTGAACCTCATCTGTCCCACAGTTTAAGAAGGCCCAACATAATCACTTGTAGTCAATAGAACCAGAGGTCCTTAAAGAAATGGCCAATTCTTGGGCTGGAGCAGAAAGAGTGTAAGATGAGCCTAGAGCATCTATCGTGTGCTCAAAGAGTAAGGCCTGACCAAGGACACAGGATGGGGCTGGTGGAGCACCACGGGCCCCACTGGGCACAATTTGAACAAGAAAAATAAGAGTAAAGGGTTACAACCCAACACATAAAATAACCAGTAAGAAAAAAAAGAAAATAAGGGCTGGAAACATAATTCAGTAGTGGGGCTCTTGCCTAACATATGAAAAGCCCTGGGTTCAATCTCCAGTGTAAGAAAGTCCGGGACAGGCGAGGGATTTAGCTCAGTGGCACCGCACCTGCCTCGAAAGCACAAGGTCCTGAGTTTGATTTCCGGTACAGAAAAACAAAGTAGAAAGTAGAAGAACAAAGGAAGGAGGAGGGGGGAAAAGAGTAAGGCAAGGAAGAAAACTGAAGGAAGAGGACACAGAGAGGAGGGGGCGGAGAGAAAGAGGGAAAGAGAAAGAGAAGAAAAAACAGAAAGGAAAGATGTGTGAAGAGAAAAAAATGTTCTTACTTAAGGTACAAACCCAATGAATAGATGTAAAATCAATTTTAGATTTAGAAAATCACTTTGGTATCCATCATCACAATCATAATCCATTTGGGTAAGAACCAATGGATACTGAAATTAATACATGCAAGTTTCTACACTTTCAAAGCATCTCCCCAATGACACTTATTAATTACAGAAGGAAAAACGGCAACTTTTCAGGGGAGAATCTTGACGAACACCACCTTAATAAGTGATCAAAGTTCACATGACCAGCAATAAGGCAAGAGACATCATGTGCCTCCTGATAGGATACACTGAGAAGAACACAACAACCCATTGCTTGGCATTCCTGCCAAAAAAAAAAGCAAATCCTAAATCTAATCAAGAAAGAACATCAGACAAATCCAAACTGAGCAAAGTCTGCAAAATCTCCTATGCTCTTTAGAAATGTCAGCATCACGAAACAAGACAGACTGAAAAACTGTTTAAAGAAAACTAGGGAGACATGACGTATAATCCTAACACATAATCTGGGACTTCCTTTCCCTATAAAGGACATAATTGGAACAACTGGGAAAATCTGAGTAAGATCTGTAGATGGACTAAAAGTAATGTATGAATGTTAATTAATTTTGATTATGGTGTCCTTACATAATGGAATGTCTTTGGGATTTTCTGGGTTTTGTTTGTTTTTTTGAGACAGGGTCTCACTATGTAATCTAGCCTGGCCTTGAACTCTCAGCAACACTCCTGCCTCAGCCCTCTGAGTCCTGAGATCTTAGGTATGCACCACCACGCCCAACATCTGTGTTTTTTGAGCCACTCCAGCATATTTAGAGGTAAAAGGTCATGATGCCTTAGCTTTCAAATGGCATATGGAGAAATGAATGTGAGACAACGTTAACACAGCAGGGTCTAGATGCAGGGGAGAATTCTTTGTTCTACTTTTTACAACTTTCTCGTACACCTAAAATAGGGTCAAAAGAAAAAAACTGCCCAGAATAGAACTCCACATAGTGAGCCTCCAAAAATCCCTATGAACAGTCCACCGCCCTGTTAGGTATCTATCTCCTTAGCTCTATTGGAAATTCATTCCTGGCACAGCTTCATTAAGAGGAGGAGGTGTGGACAGACAAGAAAACAGGTCTTCTCTCCCCGAAGCTGAGAGACTTCTAGGTAAAGTTCCCTGGTTGGAGAAGACAAATAAATGACCAATCTAACTTGGGCAGAATTTCAAGTAATATGCACTGAGCCATTTACTCAAAACACCCATGGTCCTAGCTTCAGACAGATTTCCCTAACTTAGTGAAAAGAGTTCTAAATAAAAGGACAAGGGCTTCTATTAGAGGAGTACCCCAGCAGCCTACAGCAAGTGACCACTGCCAAGTCCAGACTAAAACACAGTAGAAAGAAAAATATACAACAATGAATAAACTATACCCTCAATAATCCCACCTCCTCAAAAAAAAAAAAAAGAAATCAAAGGCAACCCACATTCTAAGATAAGTAGAAAGCTCATTCAAGGGGCAACAAAACAGTACCCACATCTGTTTAGCTTGGAATCCACAGAAGAACCCTATCCAATTTCATTCAGTGCTTTATACAATAACAGTGTTTGTGTATAGCTGCTACATATAAGTCAGTAAGTGTTAAGCCATAAATAGGTGAGATTCCATCTGCTAGGGTACAATTTCCCAGCAGCCTGGAGAAAGATTCTGTAAGTGTGGCCGGGTCAGAGAACACATGTGCTTGAACAGGTTCCCCCTGCTGCCAGAGGTCCACTGCCCAGAAGGCCCAGAGAACCATCCAGGTCCTGGGCTTCATGTTTGCTAATAAGTGCCTCGCACTATTTCCAGTGTGAACATACATCAGCCTGGAAGTGAAAACTGCTTGCTCGCCCCATTCTGCAGGGAACCCACAAACACCGCGATATTCTGGTTACAGCAGGGTCTCGCAGGGGAAAGAAGGCAGGTCCGGGACCAGGAACTCAGCCTGAAAGAAGCTAGTATTTCAAGGAATTAAAAAGAAATGTTTAACTATATAGAGAGATTTTAAAAACAAGGCAAACCAGCTATGACTCTCCGCCTTGTTCTAAAGATAGATTTGGGGCAAATTCAGTCAGCTCTCCAGGATTTGTTCCCCAACACTTAGGTACTTACTTAGACATCTAGCCTAAGTCACCTGGAGGGGCCTCAGTCACAGCACCTTTGCCGGCCACTGGCCTGAATGGTGCTCCTGACCTGGATTTAATACCAGAAAGCACTGATCCCCTCCAGATCCAAAGCAGTCCCTCAAGTCACCAAACACAGTAGCTTCAAGTCACATCAATGGCCCCTCCTACTAGACAGACACGCAGCCCACACACCCTGGGGCATCCCTATCCCTAGGGGCTTCCCCCTATCCTATCCCTATCATTTGTCCCCTAGGGCATTCCTGGCTAAACCATACAGCTCTCCAGACTAACAGTAACCAACACTTTAAAAATGCTTCTTTCCTAGCACCCAAAATTTTTCAGTGTCCTCCCAGTTTCCTCACAAGTCCCTCTTAAAAGACTCCACTTCTGATCTCTCCTTTCTTGCAAGTGGGCAAAAGCTAGCAGGCAGTGTAAAAACATGCCATCTGGCCCATTACAGTTTCAATCTGGCATCTCATGGTGTCGAGTTTATTTAAATAACTTCCCTTGATTAAAGTAGTGTGAGTTTATTATTTAAAAACTGTAGATATGTATAACAAAACTCAAAAGCTAAAGTAAAAATCACCTGAAATTCCATCAACCAGAGAGCTACAGAACCACCAACAGAAGACAGTTTCTCCGGGCTTTTTCCTCTGCATGTCTAAAGTTACAGATTTTCTTTACAAGCCTCAAATTACACAGCTCCTAAAGGCTACCCTTTTAATTTATTGTGCAGTTTTTTCCCTGTGACTTTAAATATTAAGTTAGAACCACTGGCTACATAGATACTGCATCCTATGGACAAGGCATAATTTCACTAAATGGTATTACTAGACATTTTAAAACTTCTCAACATTTTGCTATTACAGTGGACCCTTGACTTACGAACTCAATTTATTCTCGAGGGTTGGTTATAACTTAAATTGGTCAACTGAAGGCTCAGGCTCCTCTACACAGCCTTCAAAGTCTCTCTCCCATGTACAGGCAGATCTCAGTGTCCTTAGAGAGATATTGGCCCAGGATTTCTCAGTTAACCTGACACAGGAAAGGATGTTGTCATGTTCCTTCCAGAACTTTTTAAGGGCTCAATCTGTATCTGAGACCATCTGGAACCACAAGACTTGTGTCAGTCGTAAGTTAAAATTAAAATTCCAGTCGTAACCCAAGTTGTTTGTGTGTCAGGTCAGTTGTAGCTCAAGGGTCCACTGTAATTCTATCACACATGCCCATGAATTTCTGTATGCACAAAGGAACAAAATAAGAAAAGTAAGTAACAGTTCTTTTACTGTCCACTAAGTAGGACTAGACTTGGTTCTACGTACTTTTTTGAATACATCGTCTCATTTGATCCTTGCAACAGCCTATTTTACAGATGAAGACACAGGCTTAGAGGGTTAAGTACAAGCTGTGCACTGGTTTAGTCAGCCTTTGAAGCCAAGTAAGCCTCCCTGACTACTCTGAACCCTAGCTCTTACACACTGCATCTCGTCTCTATTTCCTCAGGATACATTTCTGGGAGCAGAACTGCTGGCTCAAAAGTGAAGAACATTTATGACCCTGGCACGTACCAGCCTGTCCTCCAAGAAAGCCCTTCCAACTACCATTTGCAATAGTACATAAGCATTAATTTTCCTGTACCTTCAACAGTGGATATTTATTTGTTAAGATTTTTATATGTCCATTTGGCAGATAGGAAATGGCACCTTGTTTTAACTTACATTGTCTGCTAGTCAGACAGAATCCATCTGCAGCTATCTGTGAATTGCCTGGGATTTCTATGGCGGGGATACTGTCTTTTCCTGAGTGATGAATCAGAGGGCTTTATGGGATTTTACTGGCAATCCCTGCCCCCTGACTCTTTGCCACCAGCCACTCTCCCGTGAGCTCCTGGACCAGACAGAGTCCCAGCTACTCACATTGCAGCTCCCTCCACCCTCCTTCAGATCTCAACTCCTTCCAACACTGGACTCTGCCCCCTGCCTCCCTTCCTCAACAGCACTCTTTCTAACCTCTGGGGAGTTCCTCCTCCCTGGTGTGATGATAAAGGACTACAGTGCACCAATAATTTTTGTGCTTCTCATGTGCAGTGAAACTAACTGTGGAGTGTAATGAAAATACACATAGATGTCGGGCCCCACCTGGAGGACAGGATCAGGTGCTCTGGAGGCACAGGCTGGGCATCTGCTTCAGGTGGGCTAGAAGACCCTACCCCAAGCTGCAGTCTTCTCTCCAAGACCCTCTGTGTCCTCCTAGTCTTGGCCAATGGCTTCTCCTCATCCGTGTCCATCTCCAATCTCCCTTGTACTCCAAACTTCCAACCAACACTGGGCATGTAGCTCAGTGGTAGAGCATTTGCCTAGCATGCGTGAGGTCCTGCCTGCCCCAGCACCATACTCACACACAAAAGCAACTGCTGACCACCACCCCTCGAAATCTCTCCACTTCTCTGACATACTTTTCCAGCTCTCCTCCTCCTTCTCTGGTCTCCACACTGCCTGCCCTCTTCCCATTCCTACAGCTCTCCAGGATACACTTACCCACTTACTGTATTTGATAAAATTCACTACCATTGCAACCCTCAGAAATCCCTCTTCGTAGTTCGCCTATAGTATTTAAGTATCATCATACTTTTTCCCCTTGGCTCTCTGCTCTTAACTCTGTGCATCATCTACCTTACCTACTTCTGTGGTTTCAATTACTGAAATTATGAATTGACTCCCAAAACAAAAATTTCCATTCTGGACTTACCACTTGAATATGCATCTCCCTACTTTCAGGAGACCACAAGATGTCTGTAAGTGGCTAGCTTTCCAACACTCAAAATTCAGCCTGGCTCAACGTGTCCAAAGGGAACTGCCCCTCACTGCCTTAATCTCTCTGGAAGGAACTTTCAATTGTAGAAAACAGAAAGAAAAAAGCAATTTAGACTTACAATGATGTGTTTATCAGCTAACTTCCCTATCCAAGAACCAGCTTCCAAAATAGTCAAACTTAAACTCTCTGGACTGGTTTTCAAGTACTCTAAGATCTATCACCACTGGATAGCAGTCTTTCTTAGTCGTGGAGTAATCCCAAGACCCACCCCCCACCCCGCACCCAGGGCAGGGCCTGAAACTGAGTATAATACCAAACCCTAGAATTTAAGGCCTTTTTCATCTTAACAAAGCACTTACTCTCACACTGTGGCTGTAACTTTTGCATTCGGAGGTGTGACAGCAAAACTTGTGTGAATTTCTTTTCCCTTCTTCACAATCTCATGGGTGGAAATTTCGTTCTCACCACAGATCTTAGCAACCTCAACCTACAGATTTTTTTTTTCTTTCCTTTAACTCAAGAATTTTTGCCTTTTTATTTAAAGGAGGTACTTTAAAGCTTTTCTCTGGAATATTCAAGTTGCCAGCATTACTACTCTTGTGCTTTGGGGCTATTATTAAGTAAAATAAGGGTTACACACAAGCACTGCAATACCTTGATAATCGATTAGATAGGTGGAAAGACTACTCAGTGATGAACAGGTAGACAGCGCATACAGCATGGATACCTTAGACAAGGAGATGACTCATGTCCCCGATGGGATGGACTGATACGGCGGGAGATTTCACACTATTCAGAACAGCATGCGATTTAAACTTATAAGTTATTTACTTCTGGAAAATAATCTATTTAATGTTTCAGGTCACCACTGGCCTCAGGTAACTGAAACTACAAAGAAAAACTATAGCTAAGTTTTGGGACTTAACGTGCTATTCAATCATCTGTTTCATTTCTCTCCTCCTCATCATCTTCCTGCTCTTACGTGTTCTGGACTCTATTTCTGCAGCCCCAGACTCTTCGAATGTTCTTTCTCTTCCTCAACTAATTTATCCAAATTTGAGACCTCCTTTAAGAAGCATAAGCTTACATTTACCTTAGGCAATGAAATCCTCTGCTGGGAGAGAACCCAGGGCCATGTGCACGCTAGGCAAACACTACCACTGAGCCATCACGTTCACAAAAATCTGTCTCCTCTCTATATGCCTCATAATGTCCAGCATACTGTTTGTCATTAAAACAATCTCTCTTGTTTCATCTTGGTGGCTTTTAGCTCTACAACTTCGCTGTAAGCTGCCTGAGGGCAAAAATCAGCTTGTGTCTACCTTCTAGCACAGTGCTGAGCATATAGTGGGGGACAGGGGACTAAAATTCTAGGCGGCATCTTAAATAAGACTAGCAAGAGTGTACCAATCTCAGCAAGCACTGTGGAGATCAGTGTGGAGACACCTCAAAGGACTAGGACTGGAGGTCCCATTTGACCCAGCTATTCCCCTGCTGGGCATCTTCCCCAAAGAATTAAAAGAATCATACCACAGTGATATATGTGCACCCATGTTCATAGCAGCACAGTTTATAATAGCTAAAACTTGGAAACAGCCCACATGCCCATCAACTGGAGACTGGATCAAGAAAATGTGTTTTTTTTATAAAATGGAGTACTACTCAGCCACAAAAAATGAGAAATTAGAGACATTTATAGCTAAGTAGATGCACACTGAGGCGATACTTTTAAGTGAAATAAATAGGACACGTGTAAATACCGACTAGTTTCTCTGGTGTGAGAAACTGAAAGTGTAAATAAGGACTAAATGTATAATAGGTAATGTGAAATAGGAAGAAAAGGGGCAAAGGGGAAGGAAGTGGGAGGGCTAGGAGAAAGGATAGAAGGGAATGGGAGTAATATGAGAAAATGGAAAAACAGGAACAAAATCTTTGTAAATAGGGAGGACTGGAGGGGTTGAAGGGAGGCCAGGGGAAGGGGGAAAAAATAAGAACCAAGAGAGACTATGTAAAGGTGCAAATTTCCAATGCTGAATGTCATTATATTGTATGCCTAAAATGTACCAATGATTAGAACGAATAATCGATAATGCAAAATAGGAACAAAAGGTCCAAAGGGGTAGGGGGAGTGGGAGGCACAGGGGAAAGGAAAGAAGGGAAAGGAAAAAATGATGAAAAATGGAAATAAAGTCTTTGTAAATAGGGAAGGGTGGAGGGCGTGAAGGGAGGACTAGGAATGGGGAAAAAATAAGAACCAAGATGCATTATGTAAAGGTACAATTCCCAATGAGAAATGTAATTGTGTTGTATACCTGCAATGTACCAATAAAAGAATTTAATATAAAAAAAAGAGTGTACCAATCTCAAATATATATATATTTTTATCACAGAAGCACCAATAATCAAAAGTCCAAACACCCCACCTGAGTATCTCAGTATTTTGTGGTTTATGACGTTAAATGTACTATTTCCCATCCCACAGTTACTACAGGCCTGATACAGAAGCAGCCCTCATATCAGCCATCTTAAATAGATGGTCAGTGAAGCAGAAATCCAGAAAGTCAGGCGAATCCCTAAATACAATTCTGTTTTGGAGTAGACTACATACGTTGGAGTGAAGTAGCCTTCCTGTCTGTTGAAAGGGCTACCAAAGCCATGCTCATGAGTGTCAGAGAAAGATGACTCTGGTGGGGATCCTGAACACTTATTAAGTAGTCCTTCACCAGCAGTGCATGAATCTGAATAGCACAAGGAACTGCTGTAATTCAAGGCTGCACAAACCCAAGACAAAGTGAACCTGAACAGCAGCTTCACTTACACTTGCAGTTTCAGGAATGTACACAGAAGCAGGCAGAGTCTCAGGTTTTCCTTAGTGCAGATCTGCTCGACATGAATACTAGTGCATACACATTACAGCAGCTTCCTGCTGGTCCTGGGGCAGCACCTGGGAAATGCACTCACTTCCCTGGACAGAGAAAATATGTCCTCACCAGCATTCCCAGGATGATGGGGAAGCCCGGGGGAGGTGGGAGAGAAAGATGACAAGGAGCCTTGCTTGAGGAACGTCTCCCCCAGCAGGCACCTCATAAATGACCCTTAGAAAAAGAAGTGTGTTTTCCTCTCAGCAGGAAAAATGTCACACGGTGAGACTACCAGCAGCTCCCTCTGGCATGAGGCTCCGGAACTGGCACCATGACCAAATAAACAAGGGTTGACCTTACGAGACTCTTTAACAGGGCAGTGCACACACACTCACATGCATGTGCTCTCTCGCTCTCACACACACTCACACTGTCTCTCACTAGCACAGATGTTCCTCAGCGCGGAGCGGCTTCTCAAGCACAGGGGAACAAGGGGGATCTGTAAGTGAAGGAGGAACAGAAGCGGGAAGGTGGAGCCATTGGAAAGGGCCTGAGGAAGGAACAGCCACTTCAAAGACAGAAACACATGCAGGTAAAAGTCTTCCCCAGGGCCCAGGAAGGCTGGGCGCCCTCCGAAACCCCATCAGGGCGTATGTACTAAGCTTCCCTCTGCTTCCTGTTCAAAGGACATGATGTAGACAGTCATCCCATCCCAGAATTCTCTCCTAAATGTCTCATTTTACTAAATGGAAGATTTGAGAAGCAAATCTACTGGGTAGTCCTCAAATCCTAGAGGCCTGGGGAACTATCTCCAATTTCAATTCTCTTCTCTATGGCAAACAAGGAAAGCACTCCAAGACAGACTGACAGGACACATGTTCTGTCTGACATCTGAGTGTGTTTGAGAGACTTTCAAATTCCAAAGTTTAAGCCCAACTGGGTTGGGAGGAGTGAAATCCTGTGTCCTATTCTTCTCTGCCCTGTCCCCATCCCACATGCTAACTGCAAAGCCCTTTACTGTATTTATACTGTTAGTGTACACATATTTCAAAGAATGGCCTTGGTAGTTAGACAAAACAACAGAGGACTGTCTCTTCTTAAAGTGAAAGGATCCAAGAGTTCACACTTGGTTCACCAAGAACCCAGAGGCTGCAGATAATAATTATAGCCTCACAAACCCAGCAAAGATGGCACAGGTCACCTTGCTCCTCTTGCTGCTCCAAATGCTTCTGGGCCATCAGCTGCTGTGAAAGAATCACCAAGGCCACATTAAATAGTACTTGGATTAATTACGCTTGAAAGTCTCTTATCCAAGCACTGCTAAGGCCGAACAATTGAGTTTGGGAACAAATGTGGTTACATATTTTTCCTTAATGGCTTCCTGAACACCCTGGTTAGGTCTGGTCCCAGAGGGGAAATTGCCGGTTCAAGTCATAAAATGTGATCAATGTAGATCAAGACCCTGAGCTAAGTATCCAAGATGAGAGAGGAGAAACGGATTTGTGTGAACATACAAACACAGAAGGAAACGTGTGTTCACATGAAGAACTTCAGCTTCTCTCCTGAAGCTGCACCTTCTCACTTTTCACCCCTAGAGCTCTGCTCATCCCACCAAAATATTCAGCCACCAGTTCCAATTTTGGAAGGAGTCCAAATAAGAAAAAATTTCAGAAACTATTTCTGTGGCTCTAAATGCCCACATCAGACCATGGTAAGAGCGGGGGAAATCAAACGTGGCTGGTTAATGGGGCCGATCTTTGGCTTCAATAATACAGAGCCCACTGGAGTTTTGGCCCTACTGGTTGGAGTGTTCAGCCCTTGTGCAAGAGGTTTATCTGTCCAAAAGTTCACTTGCTGCTCTAATGATTTTCATTCATACACACAACAAATATTTGAGTGCCTACAACATACACAGCATCCTTCCGTCAATACAGACTCCTGCTAGCCCACTCTTGTCCAGAGTCCAGACAAGCACTGGCAGAAGCAGCTCAACACTACACATGGCTGCTGTGGTCTACTCTACAATGTGCTTATCTAGGGTACCACTCTCTCCATTCCAGAGCCTTCCTGTGCTGGTGTCAAAACTTGTCCTTCTATCAACCAGCTGTGGTCACAGTGATCTGACATCCACCAAGTTTAAAAACTGTGGTTCAACTATTCCAACACATGGTTTGGCTATTGACAGTTGCTCTGAGAACATGGTAGGCCTGAGGCTTCAGTTCACTTCTACCAGTCCCCCCAGCAGTGCTAATTCCTTTTATGGGGCCTCACCCTCAACCTCTACGGGAACCCCCAAGCAAAGGAGTAGGAGTGATGTCTAAGACTGTCAACTGCTTCACAGCCCAAGATCTTCTCCCCTGGGATGAAGGGCATGCTATCCTGCAAATACCTACGAGAAGTTGCCAGAACCACTGAAGTAGCCTTCACACTGCATTTCTTCCGTCCTTTGGAGCTGTCAGTCTAACAAGAGAAGACAGGAATTCATTTCTGGGGCTCCTCTTAGGTGAACCAACAAATTTTCCATACCCTTATTTGCCTTTTGTATTCCATCCTGGTTCCTCTGGCCTTGGCTCCTCCTTAGTTAAGGCTGGACCTCATGTCTTCCCAGGCTCCACAGACAGACACATAAGCGCAGACCATTCTGGAAAGAGAAGACAGCCTCCCCAAGGCCTATCTAGAGGTGCTGGGGTTGCCACGTGGACATGTTCACTGCTCTCCACCAGGAGGTGGTTCGGCCTCGCTTTCCCATCATCCAACGATGTCCTTTTTATAGAGCTTCATGCTTGTGACACATACTGGGAGTCACAGGGAATAATACGGAGTGGAGTGTGGTTCTTAAACAGACTTCTAATTGAAGCACAGAGCTTAGGAACCAAAATGAACCACCTCTAAGGAGTCTATTCAGCAACCTTCGCTCAGCTTCAAGTTGTCTCATCCTCCTGCCACACCAATCAGGTTCCCAGTCACAGATCCAGGAGACAAACCTGTTTCCAAACAGGTCAGGAGGAGAAGGTGGAATTTCATTAGGTGTCTATTTGCAGGAGAGTTAGGCTGAAGAAAGCAGCCACACTGGCATGTACTCATCACAAGGGAATTCCACTACTACTGGAAACAGGGGAGGCAAAATTTTGTGCACACTACCAAATCATCCACACATTGGGGTGGATGGGAGGTATTTAAAGGAAATGAGGGAGAAAAAAGGGAAAGAGAAAGGCCAGGAATTTTCTTTTTTTAAAGGATTCTTCCCTACACATTCACTACCAGGCTTTCTGCCTCTGGGATGGAAAGTGTTACTCAGCTGCAAGGCCTCTTGCTAATTGTGGGTTTTTATTTTTATTTCCTATTACCCTCTTGCACGCCTGATGAGATTATTTTACCGGAACTGACACAGCTGGAAGCAGCAGGCATACATGGAGCCTCTGAGGAGGTGATGCAATTTCATTTTCATTGATCAGAAATCAGCAGGGCAGTAAGTGATGGGAAATTCCATTAGAAGAAAACTTACAAGCCATGAGCCTCAACTTCCTAGCCACACCCAGGAAGCCCCAGAGAGAGGACTAAGGTCACACCTGGGGCCATCAGAAGCCCTCTCCTCAAAATGGCAAGGGATGACCACACTGCCGCTGGCTTGGTAGAACATCTGAGTAGGACAGGAAGATCATCAGGACTCCTTGAACCAAT